TCAAATCCAGTCTGGACAATTTAACAAGACCCAGTTTCAAAATTAAACAAATAAGGTTGGGATGCAGCTCACTTTGAAGGCCCTGGGCTCAAACTCCAGCAAAAAACAAACAACCTACACAAAACAGGAGGATGAAAAAAGGGTAGAAGACAATCCCAAGGTCTGGAATCCGTAAAATGGCACCTTTCCCTTCCAAACGCATCTATTCCTTGAAGTCATAAGAATTCCTTCCCTGCATTTTACTTACTGTTACATTGTGGTGAACATGGGGGGGGGGGGGCAGAGCCACTTTAGATCACAGGAAAAACAGCTCCATTTCTAAAAATACACAAAATTTTGTGCCTTGAAGACAAAACCCCTTAATCTTACTCATGTTGGGCAAGCACTCTAAACTACACTCCCAGCCCCAAATATACTTTTGAAAGTCCACTGAACCAGATGGGGGCGTGGCCAAGAAAAAAGTCTCAACTGCACAAGGTATTTTTAAGGAAATGTAACTTTATTACTTTCAATTACAAACAAGTACATTGGGCTGGCAACCAATGTCACCTATGTGAAGGAACCTGCTTTCATGTATAGCTATGATTTATAACTAGCACAGTCACTCATGGGTAAAAGAATGGTTCTATGACACATGAGAATAATTTCTCATTTTGTAGTCATCTTGTTCCACAATCACTCCGCAACTGGTTTAAGCAAGTTCCCCCCAACCCCCACCACAGTTCAAATATGGAAGCTTCACCTCAATCCCTCTAGATCACAACACACGCCAAATTACTGATCAGTTTGTGAAATTGCTTACAGATGCTGGATTGCTGAGAGACCAGCCTTTTCAACCTGCGCATTCTCATCGAGCATCCTAAGTCTAAATCAGTGAAATAACATCTGTTCATTAAGTGTAAGAATATCAAATAATTAAGAACTTTTGTCACCTGAATACCTTGCCAGGTTTGAAAATATAAAAACATATTCATCTGGATACATTTGCAAAGACTAGATAGTTGGAGTCTGTGGGATGCATTAAGTGGGTTTACAATGGTTAGGACTGAAAAACTAGCTTGAGGCAACTGAACTGTTTCAGGGAAAGACAAAACGTAAACAACTTGACAGCAAAATGTCTTTATTTGCTGAGCATGATCATTGAGGGAAAGGTGTAAAGAAAATTCAGAAATTTACTGAAAGATTTATTCTGAAAGATTTCAGTTTGTAGAGCAGGCACAAGGAACCTCTGATCAGAGACACTGCCAAAGATGGTCAGTGGGCATTTTACCAGAAGGCTAACCTGGGAGTTGTACAGGGTGGCACAGGACTGTAATCCCAGCACTGTGGTGGCTGAGGCAGGAGGATTAAGTTCAAGTCCAACAGGCACAATTTAGAAGCAAGACCTCAAAATTAGACAAAAAGGGGTGTGTGTGTGTGTGTGTGTGTGTGTGTGTGTGAGAGAGAGAGAGAGAGAGAGAGAGAGAGAGAGAGAGAGAGAGAGAGAGAGGCTCTTAGTTCAACTGTCAGCACTAGAGGGGGGAAAAAAACCCAAGAAGGCGATTCTGTTGTTTTCATCACTCTACCTGAGAACTGCACAATTCAAGTGTCTTGTCTTAATCATCATAACAAAAGCACCCGCATAATCAGGTAGGAAAGCAGACCTAAAGGGCTTTTCCCCTATCCTGACAGCCCTGTGTGTGAAAGAGAAGGGACTAGGGAGCCCTACTCCTGATTACATCTGGGAACAGCCATGAGATTTGATGGGCTTCTGCTTGCTTCGTTAGAGAAAGACAGGTGGTTCATGCAACAAGGCCCAGAAAATGAAGCACAGAAAGCTGTAAGAGTGATGGTGAGTGAGGAGATTCATCTCCAGGTTCCCAAGAAAACAAGACACATAATTGTAACTTAAAGGAGCTGGCTGGGTTTGGCCAAAGTAGTGCAAAGCCAGACTCCACCATCCTTAGGTCAAGATAACCTGAATGACAATTTTTCATGTCTAAAATAATACTGTTGCCAGAGTATTTTTCTCCCTGTTTTACAAATGCACAGTAGTAATCATTCTCCTGTTAACAAATAACAAAATTATATAGCCCTCCCTCAATTCTTACCAAACATTTTCAATGGCCAGAATGGAATACATTTTCAACTATGAAAACTGAAGTCCAAACCTTAGATTGTAATAGTAATACTCCCCATGTATGAAATGCAAATACATGTATCTTCCTGCAGGATTTTCTGAGCGTCTAGTTCTTCTGAAGGGTCTTTCCTTCCTGTTTCTCTGATGTTCTATACTGTCGAGTTTGGGTCAGATTTCAAATAAAGAAACTGAAGGAACCTTTCTTTTTTTCTTTTTTTATCGGTACTGGGAATTGAACTCACGATCATACGCTTGCAAAGCAGGCACTTATGCTGCTGAGCTAAATCCCCAGACCAGAACCTTTCTTTCAATGGGTTGAGAATAAAGTTTACCGAAACCTCCTACCTGCTCACTCCTTCCCTGCCTCTGTGCTATAAAAAAAAGCAAAACTTAGTGCTGCACAGAACAGCACCAAACTCTGTGAAAGGAATCTAAGGAATTATATAGCATTCATTATAAACTGCCTGGTACCTGTGCTTTGTTTTGTGAAAGAGCTAGCTTTCTATTTTTAAAAGTCAACTGTATGAATAAATCCAGCACCAAAAAGCAATTAACTGCAGGCTAGATAAAATAAAGGTATTTGTGGAGAGGAACTGAAGCTAAAACTCCAACTACTGCCTCAAGTACTGCTGTCAAAATCCAGCAGCAGCATCTTGATAACATGTGTATTCGTCACGGAAAACTGAAAAGGGACAGACATAGTTTCAAGCTGGTCATTTTTTTTTTTTTAAATTCTCCCAGAGATGCCTACTCTCACTTGTCCATGAAGCTATCAGATATATGCAGGGCAGAGATGACCATTAAATCAGTAACCTCAAGTACTGTCACAGGCTAATTGACAATGAAGTCACTTACTCTCATCACTGCCCAAAGTCTCCACAGACTCCTTAAAAAGATTCCAGCTGCATTCTGGTTCCTTTTCTACAAGGACAAAGCAGAGCTCATGTATAGAATTCAATGTGAGATGGATCAACACACTGAGGACAGGGCAGAACTCATACACGTCACTGCCAGGCAGCTTGAATCACCCACCAGTGGTACACGTGTGACCATCTCACGAGGGACAGCAGTACTTCTACCCAGGGGAACAGGCTGCCCGATAGGTCGCACATGTACTCGGTGTTGGTTCAAGCCAGCGGAACGTGTTAACTCCAGACTTGGCCCGCGGATGAAGATGCTCTTCTTTCACCTAATCCCCTTGGAATTTCAACACAATTATTAATTAAACCTGCCCTCAAAACCAACCACTGATTCTAAGGTCCATGGTCCTGCTCAGTGCCAATATTGCAGATTCGAGAAAAGCCATGTTTCCACATTACAGCTCACATCACTGAGCTCTGCCAGAGCCCTTTGCCCATCTGTTAAATGGCATGCTTAGTATCAGAGGCAGCAAGAAAGGATAAGCTGTGTGCCTAGGCACACTGAGGTTCCAACTCTCAGGTTCATCTTCACACCACTGTCCTGTTGAGGCCACAATAAAACATGTGGCTCCCTTACTCCTGTTACAGCACAAGAGACAGCTTCCATCATCGGTCCCTTCTACCTTCTAACTCATGACAATAATGTCGAACCACTTCCACTGTTAATCTATAGAATTCCCTGACTTTTTTTTTTTTTTGTCTTTTTTTTCCTTTTTATCGGTACCAGGGATCGAACTCACGACTGCCTGCTTGCAAGGCAGGTGCTTATGCCGCTGAGCTAAATCCCCAGCCCTAAATTCCCTGACTTTAAAGAGGATGGAAGATCTTTAAAGAGGATCTACAGACTGTAGATGTTTTTTTAGCCCACTTTATTATAAATAATCCCCATCAGCTGTCAAAATTTTAAAAATCAGGGGATGTCAAATAAAAATCTGAATTTCTACCTACTCCTGAGAAAAACCATGCCTGTCAACACTGAGTTGTTTCTGCTAATGATAAAACAGCTAGAACTGAGTAACTTCACTCTTAGATGCATTTTCCAGGACCCCACAAATCCTACCCATTTTTGTTACCTGCATGACTTCCTAAGGCATTTGAGTTTACCAACCCCAATCCAGAATAACTTCTTCATTTTAAAAATGAAGAAAATGAGGTTCTAGGGAGAGAAAGGTAACTTGCTTGATGTCACAGATCAAGTTAGGGGCAAATGAGGAAGTCAGGTTCATGGGTCTTTCCCTCCCAGTTAGCACATTGCTTCTGGACAGAAGCCTAACTCCTACAGCACCTCCTCCACCAATTCCTGATGTTTTCCCAGTGGAACCTGTTACATACTTTACATTCCCTTTTTATTTGTTCTTTTTATGTCATTGATTTCCTTACAGATAATAACTTTGTATCAGAGGTTCATTTAAATATTATTGAAGAAAAAATCAGAGAATTCAACCAAACTGCAGTATCAACTTTGTACCCTTCAGTTGATGCAGTACAGGAAGGAATCTTTACTGTACACCCGCCTGCACAAACAAGAACCAAGAGAAACAATATGCCTGAGCTTGCAGGTTTCTAGGTAATACCCAGTCACCTATCTTCCAGCCCAGTGGCCCTTGTACTACTTCAAATTGCCTCTGTGCTGCACTCACCCAGGAGCATTGGTAGGGAAGCTTTCTTCACATGGAAATACATAAACTACAGAAGTACGTCACATTTTAATCATGCCAATCGTGACTCTGCCAAGAACTAAGGTTTAGAACAAGTTACAAACAATCGATTTATAGAATTAGATTTGTACTGGAAGACAGACTTTCTGTAGAACTGGTATTTGGTGAAAGTTCATGAAAGTCACAGGACTTGGTGGTCTTTGTAACACTGGCACTTACAAAAGCTAAGCCCCATGTGAAAAAGTTGCTGTAACAACATCATAGCACCTTTGCTTCAATGTCAAACAAACAAACAAAAAAAGCTATGGTAAAAGTTTTTAATAACAGATTGAATGTGATTTCATAGGCAACCAATTAGCAGATGAAACATTTAACTTTACTTAAAACCAATATTCCACTGAAGAAAGATGAACTCCAAATGCATCCTCTTACAATGACCAACAAAACTAAGTACAAATGAAGTCAATGGTGTACCCCATTAGCATGCTGTGCTGTATGTCAATAAAACAAGCCCTCCCCCACCCTGAACCCTGGCCCCTGGCAAACATAGATAAATGATTGTGCACTGCGTGATGATATCATTAGAAGAGAACTTTGGTTCATGCAGTCGGCTACCAGAGAGGTTGCACCCAAAACCTGCAGCCTTGGCACCCAAAGTCAGTCAGTGGTGGTGGCTCCTGGTGTCAGCCATGTTCCTTCCACAACACCAGGTGAATACTGTGGTCAGGCATGCTGGTGGCAAAGACCAAGCCTGTGTCATTGTGCCCGTCCAGTCCATTCAGCCAGGAAGCTTCGCCTGCCAGGAAACTCGAGCCTCTTTTTGATTTCCTGTACTCTGGCAGAGGCCAGCGGCTAATCAGGCTCTCTGTCCGCAAATCCATGATGTACAGGTAGCGGTTGTCAAACAGCAGGGCAAAGACATCTCCAAAGCCAAGCAAGGCCAAGTTCGCTACCTCAGGAGTCTTGATGACCCTACAAGAATAAGAGTTAAAGGATCATGAAGCAGAAGTCAATTTTGCTTCTGTTGATGATAATGTAATCATTTCTGGGGACACTTAAAACCAGCATAAAATTCAAGCAAAGTTATCATTAAATGAAAGAGTTTGCTAAAAATGAAAATAAGACAAAGTCCAGTCCACTTACTGGAAGGAGGCTTTTAGTCTGATTAACATGTTGGGGGTAAGTAGTGTCTGGTAAAGTTCATAAAAGCACAAAACATCCATCCAGGCTAAGAAGGCTCTTACATATCATCTAGCATTCTTACTCCTGAGGTGAAAAATTAAAGCCCAGGCAGGGTAAACATTTCAGCTAAGGATTCCCAATTTGTCAGTTACTAGTCAGAACTAGAAGGCTACAGTCAACTCCTATCACTAAAAAGACTTATCAGCTCCTAGAATGCCGAAACATCCTGAAGCCCAGAGGAAACCTAAAGTTAAGTGACTGAAGTGCTTCTCTACTCAACAGGCACCAAACACATAGGTTTCTTTCTAAAAACAGAAGCTGCAAACATTTAGAGTTCTCAAAATAATTTAGAAATATTTAACAATAACAGGTTCCCAAGATCTTTTAGAGAAAACTGCAGGAGCTGGGAGGGCAGCTCCAACTTTCATAGGCTGGCAATTTCCAAAAACATCAATGACAACGGCACAAAACAGGAGAAATAGAAGTAAACAGCAGCACAAATGAGAAAAGAAAAAAAAACAAAACAGTTAAGCACTGTTTTTGTTGTCTGGATTAGTGAAGTACAAGGTTGACCAGAAAATCTGGTTTCTTTTTAGAAGCACTGGCAAAAGCTGTAAGACAAAAGGTATAAAAATACTACTCTATACAGTATGACTGGCTCCAGGAAGAGAGAGTTTATGTGTTAACAAGTACACTGACCAAACTAATATGTATCTACAAAGCCGGTGAGAACAGGGAGGGCCTGGTAACCAGATTAAGAAGGAACAGTTGAAGGATACTAGCTGAGAGGCGGAGAATGGCAGAGCCAAGAAACTATACATCATTACTTCTCAGCAGGATGTTTAAGAGCAAAGCTTGCTGTAGAAGACAGAACCAAGATGAAAGAGAAAGAGTTATAAAGAAGTAGAGTTCAATCTAATGTTAGAAAGAAAGAAGACATTTATTTATCATTTACTAAATGGCAGGCCTTGACCCTAATAAATAACGTTATCTCAATTCTCATAATGCAGTGGGGTAATGATATTATCTCCTTTATACCAGTGAATAAACTGAGGCTAATCACACAGCTAATACAATGGAGTCCTAGCATTTGAGTCCAGATCTGACTCCTGAATCCATGCTTTTTTTTTTCATTTTCAGCTGCTTCCCAAGAAGACATCTCCACTCATAGACACATAACTCCTAAATGAATGAATCAGAGGACAAATGAATGGATTTCAACTGAATAGATGTTCTGAGTGTCAGACATGCTGAGTGATGACTGGTACCTGGGTAGAGATGATTAAACAATGTTTGTCCATAAGAATAAGAAAGAAACAACATGTGACTGAGAAGGTAGGAACATGCTCAGTACAAATGCTGCAATAAATATAATGGGAATATCAAGGTAATCAAAATTGTTCTTTTATCAGGGGACTTAGAAGCATTTTTGCTTTTGTGTATTTTTTTCCTGAAGAAATGGAACTGAGTATTCCACATTAAGAGAATACTAAAGGTCTTTCTACATTTTAAGAATTTCCCTGCATAGGCAAGATTTTAATGAATATTGCTGCCAAGTACAGTCAGTCAGTGGAAAGGCAGGCTCATGAAGACATTTCAGCGTGTCATCATCCATCTTACCACATCTGGCACAATGTGACTTCTGGCTCTTCCACGAAGTAAGAATGACCATGAAAGATCAATGTTCTGAATTAATTTAAGAAATAAAAGGAGACTCAACAGTGCTACAAAAGACACAAAAGAGGACTTCCAGAGCTGCTTCATGAAGCAGCAAGAACACTGGGATAAGTGTGCTGAAAGTGAGGGAGAGCATTTTAAGTGGCATTAATAACGGTTGGGAGTGGGGGGCTCTTTTTTTTTTGCCATACTGAGGACCATACCCAGGGCCTTTGTATTGAACTATATTGCTAATCCCTTTGAGACAACATCTCACTCAGCTGTCCAGGCTTTGTTCAAAATTGTGATCCTTCAATCTTAGCCTCTTAGAGTGCTCAGATTACTGGCATATACCACCATGTCCAACTTATTGTTAAAACAAAGCAAAAGAAATTCTGTGGAGCCAGGTGTGGTGGGTTATACCTACAAACCCCAGCACTCGGGAGTCTGAGACAGGAGGATTGTTGTAAGTTTGAGACCAGCCTGGGCTACAAAGTGAGCTCAAGGCCAGCTTGAACTGCATAGCAAGACCCTGCCTCAAAAACCACACACACACACACACACACACACACACACACACACACACACACACACACACACACACAAAGTATCTATAAAAATAAGAAAACAGGTAAGTTCTGATCTTTTGCTTAGAATGAGTTCACCTTTCTAGATGGAAAATAAATTGCTGTTTTAGGTCCATAGGTTATGTTCAAGGAGCGCATCCATCCAAAATCATTTCTAACTATATCCCATGGTGCAATCCTTTATGAACATGTCAAGATGGAGTCTGATCCCTGGGAAAGCTGGAATTAACCACAAGAAAAAGGGATAAGGTGTTCTAGATGAGTTACCATCATGAACTCATTACTATTTTCCATCAGCATGACTCATGTTCATTTACTCAGCATTTATTGAAAACCCTTGTAAAATATGCTAGCCACGGTTGGAAACAGCAATGAACAGTAAATAAAGCAAAGGTCCTCACCTATAGTCTGCCCAAAGCCAAATATATTAGCCAAACCTGCTTCCCTATTTCTGGGACAGCAAACCTATTAGAGCCTTGAATAACAAACAGCCTGCTGCAGCACAAAGCCACAGGTGCACCACCACTCTCTGTTTCCTCATTCACTCACCTAACTGCTCAAGCTGGTAAACATGGTAACCGTTTAATTTTCCTCCTTACTCAAATCACAGATTCATCACCAAGCTCTACTGATGTTACTGTCTAACTTTTTCTCTAATGTATTCATTACACTCTCCAATACCACAGCCCTGGCGCAAGACACCATCTTGGCCTACACAATTGCTAAATTTTCTACTGGTCTCTCCCCATGTACTCATATACTCTTAATTAGTAAATTTCACCCTAAAATCTGATTCTATTACCACCTTGCTTAAATTTTTAAATATTTTGATAGTTTCCTACTGTTTTCCCATCTCTAACACGTGAATTCTTCAAACAGCAATCTCTTGCTCTGCAGCACACCAACACTACATACCTAGCCCTGGCACTTAGAATCTATATATCTTAAAGCATATATATATATATTTAAAAGTACCCTGTATTGTGTTCCTTTTATTGCAAGCATTAAATAACTTGTATGTAATCAAATTTTTGTGCTTGTTTTCTTGTTACTCTCATACTAGCAAGCGAACATAGACCCTGATACAAGCTAGCCAAGTGCTCCATCAGTAAGCTACACCAACCCCTATATTTAGCTACTAAGTATCAATATTCTCTTTAGCAATTTCCATGGGTTTGATAAATATTTCTTATCTTCCAGTATGCATCACAATGCCTGACACAGACAAGTTTCAATAAATGTTGCTAGTAAACAAAGCAGTACTGTAATGAATGCAAACACTAATTCCTACTAACAAGATCCAAAAGGACTAGGAAAAACAGCTGGAAAGTCTGGTAATTCCTCAATCATCAATGTAAAGCAGAGTACAACTGGAAACTGCATAGGTCTAGAAATAGGGCTTAAGAATGGTAAAGATGACTCCAAAGACAGAAACACAAATATGCTGCAGAAACAAAATGCAGATCTTGATAGGCTTGCCAGGTCTTTTACTTTGATCATTTAAAAACTTTAAAAAACAAAAATCATTGAGGGGGCTGGGGATTTAGCTCAGTGGCATAAGCACCTGCCTGGCAAGCACAAGGTCGATCCCCAGTACCAAAAATAAGTAAATAAATAAGTAAAACTGTAAACAGGTATCCCTGCTGGGAAACTGGGCTCTTGACCCTAAGTAACTTTGCCTGCTACACTGAGATAACCAAATTGAAGAGACTGAATCACACCTTAGACTTACCTAGCAACATTCTATCACTTGTACTTTGCTTCTTTTGGATTAGCTTCAAAGTTTAAGTGGCCCTACCAGATCCAGCCTATGAGGCCACAGGATATATACTAGTGTCTCAAAAGAGATCAGTTTATTTGTCTTTGGAGGATAAAGGGCAGATAAGAGAGAAAACAGAAAATTCAAAGACAACTCTGAACTTAGTACTTCCCATCATCAAACAATCTTGCTGATTCATTATTTTTAGAGCCAGTGCAACAAACACTAAAACCCACCAGATCCTTCATGTGGGCTCTAGGGTCTTTAACTGCCATTCTGAGTATAAACTATATGTGAAAAAAATAAATGCAGGATCAAATTAAAACCTTTAGCAACTAAGCAATGAAACAGCTATGATACTTCCATTCCGTGTTACTTTTGCATCCTCCTTCAAAAACTGTAATTCAAAGTAAAAGCAATATTCAGTCAGAAGATGTGATCATCCCATGACTTTTTAAAAAAAATATCATCTTCTTCCAAAAGTTCCTTTCTCACTTCATCGTTTCCCCTGTACATTAACTACATGGCTACTGGATGGCCCAGCCATGGATGGATGAATGCAAGATATGCAATGCTGGGCAAAGCCTCCATCATGTCTCAGCTTCGATTTCCCCATCTATAAAACAAAGACCTTAGGCTAATGTGTTTAAGGATGTTTCAATCTTATTTTCTCAAAGCACAATCATCAGTTATTTCTAGAAATGATTCTGATGCCTCTGAAATCTTACTGGTCACAACACTGATCAGACTTCAGCAAGAATTGAGGTTATAAACTTCATGACCAGTAAGATGTGGCCTCTTAAGCCAGGCGTGGTGGCTCACGCCTGTCATCCCGGCACTCGGGAGGCTGAGGCAGGAGGATTGTTGCGAGTTTGAGACCAGCCTAGGCTACAAAGTGAGCTCAAGGCCTGAACTGCACAGCGAGACCCTGTCTCAAAAAGACAAAAAAAAAAAAGCTCTTAAAATTTTGCTGGCTAACTTTTATGCTTTGATTTTGTAACTTTAACAACTATTGTTAAGATGACAACTAGCAATTTTATGTTAATTTTTTAAAAATTCTGTATTCTACTTTTTTTTTCTATTTTGCTTTTTAAATTTTCTCTTCTTTAAATATTTTTTAAAAAATAAATAAATAAAAATTTTGCTTCCCACACCAGCGCATCAAATAGTCATGCATAAAAACAATGAAGAGAATGATCAGTTTCCTCTATTCTGCCTGGTCAGCATTTCCAGACTATGCTATGTAACATTAACTCTGAACTGTTAACAGGCAAGTACAGCAGGTTAAACAAATTCTAACAGCTTTCTTACTGTAAGGTTTCTCAGAGTTCTTGCTAGTAAAGATCTGCCCTGTACTAGGTTCTCACTATATTTAATATTTATTTATAAATGGGGAAACTGAGGCACAGGGGAATTGAGAAATCTACAGAAAATCATGCAGCCCGTAATAGATGGCACTGGGTCTTCAACCAAAGCCTATCAATAAATTTTCTAATTTATCACATAGCACTGGCTGCTACCAGCCTCAAATATGCCAACAGACACTGCTAATATCCAAGCTGACCTATGGTATGGGATGAATCACAAAATTATTTGTCCAAGAACCTTTTACTTATTTCTCTGGAGAGAAACCCTACAAGCTATACTTTCTGTAGGTTCCTCTGCCTACTCATCAATAGAATACCACATAATCTCTCAACCCCACTAAGGTGGCAAGGGTCATATAATAATGCAGAACTGCAACGAACTACAAAGCAGAACTTTAAATATTAGTAGTCTCATCTGAGTCCCTCATTTTTCAGAAAAGCATGCTAAATCATGTAAGGGGAAGTAGTTCAAGATTTCTATGCATTAAAAGAGGACTGGGGCTGGGGATTTAGCTCAGCAGCATAAGTACCTGCCTTGCAAGCAGGCGGTCGTGAGTTCGATCCCCAATAACAGTTAAAAAAAAAAAAAAAAGATAAAAAGAGGACTGATCCTGAATCAAGGCTGGCAGCTTCCTGACACTGTTGGTTTCAAGCAGGAGCCTAAAGAGATGTCTTTCTATGGTCTGTTGGCCATTTCAGAACTTGGGCAGTGAAATGGTCAATTCATTAGAAAAAAAACAGCTTGAAGCAACTCCTCCCCACCCTGGTGAGCAGCTGTGATCGAGGCAGGCTCCAGCGACCCAGGACAGAAGCTACTGGCGTTTACTGGGACCCACGCCATGCTGGGACCTGGAGCGCCAGGAAACCAAGCAGCCACCACCCTGTGAGCGACTGTGAGCATGGCAGGCTGCGGTGGCCCAGGACAGGAGTCACTGGCATTTACTGGGACCCATGCCGTGCTGGGATCTGGAGTGCTGAGAAACCAAGCAACCCTTCCCCCCATGCCTGTTTTGTTTTGTTGAACTTCAATGAACATGAAAGCATGGACAGCTATTTTGAGGAGAACAAGAGACTCTACGACAACCATTAGTGACTTCCCTATTGTCTGGGTTTTTTTTTTTGTCTTTTTATTTTATCCGTACCAGGGATCAAACTCATGACCATGCGCTTGCAAAGCAGGTGCTTATGCCGCTGAGCTAAATCCCCAGCCACTATTATCTGGTTTTGAAGACCTAAAACACTTTCCTCATTCTATTCAGATCAGTTTTATACTATGTTGTTTTGTATGAATTCTCTGTATGCAAAGACATGGACAACTATTTGGAAGAAAACAAGAGACAAATATGATAGATAGTGAAGATCTCAGGTTATCTAGCTTTGAAATTTATTATCTCTTACATTGCTTTCTTATGTCCTTTTTTGTTCTGTTTTATTGTGTTCAATTTTACCCCCTTTAAAATTAAAAAAAAAAAAAAAAAAAAAAAGAGTAAAAAAGGAATTAGAATCTGGTCCCACTATTCAGGAGGCTGCCACAGGAGTAATCCAAGTTCAAGGCCAGCCTGGATAATTCAGGGAGACCCTGTCTCAAAAGGCTGGGGGGGGGGGGGGCAGGACCAGACAGGGGTACAAAGGGCTGAGAACATAGCTTGTCTCTGTGTTCAAACCTCAAAACTGTATTAAAAAATCTAAAGATCTTTAGGTTTCAGCATATAACCCTTTTTCATCTACTTACTGCCTCAAAACATTTTATCTGTTACATTTAATACATATATAACTGTCTGTAACTGTTATAGTAAATATTTCCCCAAAATAAGATTATTTACTAGTATATTCAAACAGTCTTCTCTTTAGTACTGAACTACAGCAGCCTTTCAAAGTTAAAATATGAGGTCTGACAAAACATCACCTGAGAATATCATAACTGGCAAAGTCCCACTGGTAGAGACCAAGTGCTGAACTACAGACAATGTATTTGCCATCAAAATGAAGTCTTGGTTGCAGGCAGATACTTCTATCCTCAGAGACAGACAGTGTCTTTAAGCACTTGCAATTGATTTCTCTCCCAATTGGCCAAATCTAGAGGGAAAAAAATTAGGAAACTTGTGACATCACCATAGAAAAAAACTGCCCTTCAACAATCTGGCTTGCATTTCCCAATATAAGAGACAAAGTAAAATATTCCTAAAGACTCAGGTGTTATAGTCAAGAGTCACAGATCTGAGACCTGATTCATCTGTATAATCTTATGTAAAATACTTAACCTCTGAATCTCTATTCCTGTTAAGAAGATAATGTCTACCACACAGATGATTTAAAAGATCCAATAAGAATATATGTATCTATAAATGCTTTGCAGATTATTATAACAAACGACTGTTTCCATAGTTTATTCCTAGAAACTAATACAAGTAGGCAGCTGTCTTAAAAGTAATAGTGAAAATTTTTTCTGTGGATAGAAATCAGAGTTACAAACTGCACAGTACACAGAGCTAGTGCACCATCTCCTTTTCCACTGGGTATAATGACTTGGAGGAAGACATTTTCAGCCTCTCTCTTACAGTCTCCCTTGCTATATCACTTAATTTTCTTGTAGTTGTCATATATTTTGTTGTCGTTATTGTTGAAACAAAGCAATGGAGAAAAAAACCTCACCTTGATCTCATATTTGTCTGCACTTAAGAGGATATAGTCTCCAGGGCTGTGCAAGAGAGACCTGACCTTGCACTTTTGCAAAACCACCTGCAAACATAAACATTAACATGAATCCTATGTTTATACTGCTCTCATTTCATTTTTAAATTAAAATATGAAAGTGCACTTGAAATTATATGGTATGCTAGAACTAAGCTAAAACTCCATTACCAAGTTAACTGCTACTGAGAACTTTACCAAAACTAGGTTCAATATTATTAGCAGTATCTGAAAGTATTCAATGTCGGCAGTATTTAATCTTTAGTCTGGAAACAATCATTAGGACTAATTTTTAAAATTATAAAATGTGATATAACAATAGAAAATGTAAGGAAAAGAGAATACAGACACAGCAGTATATGCAAATGATCTGTTTTCATATACATACACATTTCATATACATTACAAAGGAAAAAGCACTAGTCCTGAAACCAGAAGAATGTGCCATGTACTAACTTTGCAAAACTGGGAGAAATCATCTAATTTTTTTTTTTTTTTAACGTGTTGAGAATCACATTCGGGACCTGGCATGCTAAGCAAGTATCCTACCACTAAGCTACATCACCAGTCTTATCTAAGCTCTGTTTCTTACTTTCCTCATCTTGAAAATAGGAGTCAAAGCACCTATTACTTCAGGTCAGGTAAATGAAGATGAAATAAAAACTATGTAAATAATAGTAATTAACAGAAGCTGACACTCCACTAGCACTTCGGATAATCTGTAAATGCTAGTGACTTCTGTTTAAAAACTGAAGGCACTGAACATGTAGTTACTGATCTCACACTGTTCACCCTTTAGCTCCAACTAATTCCCACCCAATTATCTTTAATTCATTCAGTTATCTTTAATTCATTCTTCCTTGTTCCCCAAAGTGAATGAGCAAATTCAGGTGCTTTTAACCTTAAAGATACATTCCTTTCTTTTTTCACTGCCACACAAGTTAGGTCCAAATCATGGGCAACTCTTGATTACACTAAGCCTAACTGGTCATCCTGTATCTACTATTGTGCCTCACTCTAATACATCCACTCCTTACTCACCTTGGGTTTCTCAAAACATGTCACATCAGGCCCTTGATCAGAACTTCTTGATGTTTCCTAGTAAAATTCTGAGGTCCACTGTCCTTACTATGGCTTAGTAAATCATATACAATTGTCACTTACATATCCACTTTCCCCAACTACAGCAGAGCTTCACCAGTTACCTTCTGGCCACTAAATATTCAAATTTCTTTCCCATTCCTGGGTCTATATATGTATCACATCTTCTGAAACACTCTTTCAGCTTCTCTTTCCTGCTAATCAGATTTTTTGCTCTCAAAAAGCTTTTCCCTAGCAAGAAGTGGTGGTACACGCCCGTAATCTCAGCACTTGGGAGGCTGAAACAGGAGGACTGTTGCAAGTTCAAGACTAGCCTGGGCTATAAAGTGAGCTCAAAGTCTGCCTGAACTGCATAGCAAAACCCTGTATCAAAAAGACAAAAAAAAAAACACCCCTTTTTCCTTAACTTTCTTATAGAATACTGTACTTTCCATCACAGAACTTAACATAATCTGTAACTATACAGCATTTATTTGCAAAATTACTGCTTAGTAAAATCTTTCTCCTACTACACTAACATCAATAGGGGTAAAGTTTGGATCTGTGGTATTTTGCTCAATCCAGTGTCCTCAGTCCCTTACAAAAGAGTGCTAAAAGCTGAAGAAAAGTGCTTCCAAATAGCATATCCATGTTAAAGTTGATCTCACACCAATCTTGGCTTGAAACTGGGTAATACCACGCACTTTTTAAAAGAATTTGTACACGTTTCTTTGCTCCATTTGAGGGGGAGTGTTGATTCTGCAGTGCTGAGAATTGAACCTTAAGGAAGTACTCTACTGCTGAGCCATATTTTTAGCACCTGCCCCACTCTGGAAACATCAGTTTCTCATAATGAAAACTGCTAGTTTAGTTAAAATAGAAACAGGCTCATTCCAAAGGGGAAAATAAAGTATCCACAATCCTCACCTTCAAGATATTGGTGCATAGCCAAGGATACAGCTCAGCAGTACAGCACCTGTCTGGGAAGTGCAAGGTCCTGAGTTTGATTCCCAGTATCAAAAACACCAAAAAACAAACAAAAAAAACTGGTGCATAAACATTTATGTCACTCATTTGTTAAACTATTTACTAAATGTCTTCAATATGCTGGTCATTGTCATACGCTATCACTCTTTGTGACTGCATCTAGTTCATTTATGAATCATCTAATACTTATAAGGCAGTGTCTAACACTTACAAGGCATTGTCTACCAACCTCCATTGCCCATCAAGAAAAGCCTGACATAAAGAAGGTTTCTTCTAAGTTTTCCTACCTTGGTGACCCATTCCGTGTGCCCAGTTAGTGTATTCAGGCATGTTCCAGCAGATAAAGCCCATACTTTCACAGTGAAGTCTGCAGAGCCACTCACCAAGATATCCAGTTCATCATTGTAGTCCACGCTAAACACTAGTACATATAACATACACAAAATTAAAATACATCTCTGTCAAGGCAATTTTTTATAATAAATGTTCAAAAACGTTTATTCTTTCCTTAGCTACTCAAAAGCTTTCTAATCAGAGTTATTACACGAATGGTACTACTCAACCAGCAATTTTGTGATTAAGAACAATTTTAAAATTTTTATTACAATTATAGTTTATTAAGATTAGAAATTCCCAGGAACAATGCAATTTTGTATTCATGCCAGCTTCAGAGTAAGGCAAAACCAGTGATGAAAGTAATGCCATCCCTTCTTAGGACTGCCTCCCTGACACCTGACAAAAATTTGCCTACCTTGTGCAGGAGAGAAAACATACATAGCCCTACTCAGATTTGCAATGACAGTAAGACAAAAATGTAAAGAACACAATCTGCAAAACACTACTCAGACTCAAGAAAAGCCAACATAGGAAAATCCAAGGACCAAAAGGTCAGACTAAGTCATTCACTCAAAAGTGTCTGAATTTCTTCCCAGCTGTATACTTAGCACCTAAATCATTGCAGACAGTACAGCAAATACTCAGTACTTGTTTTAAGTATCTGCCAAGAGACACTGGGGACCCAAAGATGAAGACATTGGTCCTCCCTTTAAGAAATTCTAAGCACAGAAAAGAGGAGGAAGTCCAGAAAAAAGTAAAAGTTTACCTCTTGCTAGGGAAACACCAAGGAGAATGACTAACTCTGCCCAGGGCTACCAGGGAGGACTTCAGGGAAGAGGCGATTTTGGAGATGGGCCCTGAAGGATGAGTAGAGTTTATCAAGAAAAGAAAAAGAATATTGTAGGTAGAGGGAACAGCAGAGACATGGAAAAGCCACATCAATGTCCAGGAAACAGCAAGTAGAATATCTTTTTAGCATAGGGTTCTCAAAGCTGGTCAGGAGTAAAAGCATCTGATGTCATAGTGTATCTTGACATTGTAGAATATCAATATACAGTTTAATACATAAGTTCTATACTATATTATACGTCATGAAATATTTCTACAATAAATGGCAGCAGATAGCAAATAAAGAAGAAAAATTTAACAGGTGCATAAACAAAAAGGGAGGGCAGGAGGATGCTTTAGCAGCAAAACAGATACTTAATCTAAAGAATTACTGAGCACCAGATAAAAGTACAAGGAACCCAGGACACAGGGTGAACAAAGCAGGAAGGATTCCTGTCCTAGGAAGGCTATGGTCTGGTAAGCAAGCAAGACTATCATACTTACTTGTATGATGAAAGTTGTGACAGCACAGATTATGGAGAAACTACAACAGACAGGCCCCATCTTTTCAGGAAGTCCCAGGAGGCTTCCCATAAATGTGATGCTTAAGGGCATAGCTTGCAATTTATAAAGGCAAAAAGAGAGGGAGCTGATTGCACAAGAGGCTGGGAAATAGCTCAATATGATTTCTATATACAGCCCCAAAATACAGTAGAGGGAGAAGCTTGAGTCTCAAGGTTACATTTAAAAGACCAGTTTTCTGCAAAATAAGGCTGCTGTACTTATATTAGAAAATATTCAGGAATATTTTTATCTCTCAGTGATTACTCCCTTTAATAATTTGTTAAGCACACTCCCGAAAAATGTAATCTGAGAAGACCACAACAGTTGTGAACCACCTTTATTTCAAAGGATTGTCAGCCCTGAATCTACAAATAAAGCCCTCAGAATTTACAAGTGTGGGACTTAATCCAGTTTGTTAATATGGAATTAGATTCTGTTAAACAGAATATAAATGAAAACAGGCAAGGGGAAAGTAACTCTCCCAGCACAAGGGTATATAGAATTTTTAAACGCAACAAGAAAAAGTAAAATTGTACAAAATAGCCCAACTAAGAATAACTGAAAAAAGGGAAATAACTGCAATTGAGAAACAGAATAAAATGGAAGCGCAATTTTAAAACACATGAAAAAGAAAAGGTTTTATGTACTTGACTCCATGTTTTAAATGAGAATAAAGCAACTGTTAAAACCCTTAAAAAAAAAAAAAAAGGCAACCCACCCGCCCCCGTGTGCCCCCGGAAGTGCTGGGTTCTAGCTCCGGAACTCCATTCCCAGCAGGCCACAGTGTTGTCAAAGGAGCCTGTCACAAGCTTCTGTTCATCAAACTTCACCGCTGCGCAAGTGTGGGTCTGGATGCCATAAATGCACTGCCCTGTGCTTACATCCCACAGCTTTGCAGACAAATCATCTGACCCTTCAAGAGAAAAGCAGGGAGGTTAATATGAAAAGTCACCTTGAAGAAAGAGAAAAAAAAAAAAAAAAAAATCAGACCCTAACCATGCTATTCAAAGGAGAGTCTCAAAGGCCACCTTCTCTAGTATTCTCCAGCACTCCCACTTCAATACTTAGAAAACCAAAGTAGACAGTAATATAACTTGCCTCAATCACACTTACTTTTTTTTCTTGTTGTTGAGACAAAATACTGGATGACCAAAGTTAAGCGAAGGTTTATTTCTTACAGGTTGGAGGTTTTAGTATATACTCAATTGGCTCCAAGGCAAAGTGCCATGGCTGAGGGGCAGCAGTTCATGGTGGCCGCAAACAACAAGTGCGAACAGAAAAAAGCAAGACACGCCTTTTTCTCTCTGTATGCTGGCTTCACCCATGGGTGGGTATAGCACTCACACCACCAACCCAGTGCCAGACAGTAACCAATCACAAATGGTAGGTGTCCATGACAGCATTAGACTTGGGGGAAATATCTGACATAAACCACAACAGTCACCAAAATCATATCAAATGCACTAGGACAGAACTCAAGCTTTTTGGTTTAGTCCTTTTACCTTAATTTTCTAAGCTATAAAAGAGTATTACACTGAAACACAGCTTGGCACTTCCACTTGAAAAAATTTCATAAATCACCCAGGCATAGTGATACATGTCTGTAGTCCCAGCACTCAAGAGGACCACCATGAATCTGAGGCCAGCCTGGACTACATAGCAAGACCTTGGCTCTAAACAAACAAATACATCTTTAGTTATTGTAAGTTCTTCAATTTGAACTTGAATTGCATGGCTATTAACCTATAATGTCAAGTTTACACTTGCATGCTTGTCCTCTACACAACAGTCCAGAATAAACAAGGAATGCTGACTAGTAAAGCTGTATGTTGGAATATAGCCCACTTTAAAGCAAGTCAAAGATAAGCCTTAGAGGCAAGCATGGCGCCTTATGGCTATAATTCCAACACTGAGGGACACTGAAGAGGATCACAAGTTCAAGGCTCACCTGGGCAACTCAGTGCAACTTTGAATCAAAATAAAAATATAGAGGGAGCTGGGGTTGTAGGTCAGTTCAATCCCTGGCATCTTCCCCTAACATGTACACATTAAAAAAGAAAAGGTAAATTTCAGATTATAGACTAACTTCTGCAAAAGCTAGCCATTACTTTTTTGAACTATCATGAAATAAGTCAAAGAAAACCAGAGATAAGTTAGCCCCAGACATTCATAGCAATTACACTAAGAAGTTGTAAAGTTCCTTAACATTCTATAAGGAAAAGTATATTTTATTTGTCTCTGAAAAAAATGTTATAATAACCACAGTGTTACAATAACCATGGCGACAATTCAAGACTTTGCTTTAAATCAGTTTAAAATCATGATAAACCTGAATCTTACAGCCTACCTTTAAAGAGTCAAGAGAAAGGGTTGGAGATTTAGCTCAGTGGCATAAGTGCCTGCCTGTCATGAATTCAATCCCCGATGCCACCAAAAAAAAAAAAAAAAAAGACTCAACAGAAAGACATTTGGGAGGTTGACATTAAATATATAAACTATAATCAGAAAAGCATCAAATAACTAGTTTTCAAAAAACTGAAATGGGGAAGGGACTATAGCTCAGTGGCACAGTACCTGCCTGGCAAGTGTGAGGTCCTGAGTTCAATTCTCAGTACTCAAAAGGGGGGGGGGGGACTTACATCAGAAAAGGCAAAAAGCTGAAATGACCAAATAAAGACAATAAGAATCCCAACTTTAGTCAAGAACCACTGTTTCAATTTTTTTAAAAAACCACTTAGGAAAAACAAACAAACATGATTTTGACTCTGGCAAACTATGTGGGCACAGTAAAATGAAAACTATTTATTGTTACTTTGTGAATCAGGATTCAAGTTTCCATCTCTATAAAAATGAGGGGAAGGACTGAGTTTTCAATGACATTAGAATCATCAAGTTTTATGAAAACACATAGACGGGTTTGAGTGCATGGCTCAATGGTAGAGTGAACAATCATGTTAAATAAAGAAAAAGAAAAAAACCCCACAAGCAGGGCCCTATTTCAGAGATTCTAGTTCAAAGTATCTGAGGTAGAATCCAATAATCTTTACAATTTGTCAAATGATTCTCACTCATCAGCAATATTTTAAGAACCAACACCCTAGAACAGTACTATTAAAACACATACAATTTTAAATGTTCTAATATTTAGAAAAGTAAAAAGAGCCAGGCATAGTGGTGCGTGCCTGTAATCCCAGCAATTGGGAGGCCGAGCAGGAGGATTACTGTGAATCTGAAGAGAGCCTGGGCTACAAAGTGAGTTCAAGGCCAGTTGAGTCAAGGTCTGCATAGTGAGACCCTGACTCAAAAAAAAAAAAAAAAGAGAGAGAAACGAGTGAAAACAATTTAATGGTTCAATTCAATATGTCAAAAATGTCAACACTTCAATATGTAATCAGTACAGAAAACTATTAATGTATGTTTTACATTTTTACACTTTAAAAGTCTTTGAAGTCTGATACCTCACATTTCACATCTCAATCTGCATTAACTAACCATAGTTCAAGTGTGAAGTGGGGCTTAGTGGCTACTACGCTGGACAACACATCTGAATAGATAGTTTTTCAGGTTCTTTACCTTGGGTATTTTGTAACTATATTCTTAAGAAGCCAGAAAAGGGAAAAAAATCATTTTAGGTCCTACATGAGCTTGGTTCTGATTTACTGCCAAGTTCAACAAGGGTCTCGTTCCTTCAACACATACTAATGGAAGTTCTGTCCTGGCTCTGCTCTCACGGTACTTAGTCTATTTGGGAAGACAAGAAGGTCAAACAAACAATAATTTCAGTGTACTCAGTGTTAGGTAGCACAAAGTCCACAGCAAACAGAAGATGGGGACAAAAAGTGTGTGACAAAGCCCTACTGAGACAGGTGACTGTGCTCCTCCACATGCTAGCATTGCACATACAGGCCTCACCAGCTGGAATTACACGCTCCTCACTTTCACTCTTACTTGTCTTCAAGTGAGGATTTGGGATGTTTGAAGAAGGGATTTCATGTCTTTGAAAAACTTATGTTTTAACTAGTTGAAATTTAAAGGATGAATAAGTTAACTAAGTCAAAAATAATTTTTTACATATATACCAGAGATCAATAAAACCTCTTTTGTAAAAAAAACCAGCCATAAATACATGGGCTTTACGAGGAGTCTCTGTTGTCTACTCTTTTCAGTAGCATATGGCCCACAGTCCACTATTTGCCAAACCCTGATATACCTACTGCATATGTGTATACTAAATACATACAAATAAGCATTGAGGACAATCCATAAACAAGTTTTTGGAAGCCTCATAAAAACAAAGAACTATTTCCATCACACCACAAAATGCACTGTATAAGATATTAACTATGTTTTTGGTATGATTGGGAAGTAAAGTAAGTTTGAGCTCTATAACTTTATCCACATTCTTTTTTTTTTTTTTTTTGGTACCAGGGATCAAACTCACAACCTAGCGCTTGCCAGGCAAGCACTTTATGCTGCTGGTCCCTTATCCACATTTCTGAAAGGTAATTATGACTGTATCATGGAAACTGCTTTGGGGAAACAAAACTAGGGGCAAGAAGACTAACGAGAGAATAAACAAAATGCAAGCCTTACTTACAACAGAGTATGTATTCAGTCTTAAAAAAAGAATGAATCTCTGACACATGCTACAACATGAAGACATTATGCTAAGTGAAATAAGCCTTATATTATATGAGGTTCCCAGAAGAGTCAAATTCATAGAAAGTAGGACAGTTGCTGCAGCCTGAGGGTGGGAGGTAGATGGACAGTTTAATTCTGGAGATTAATGATGTCAATGGCTGCACAACACTGTGAAGGTACTAATGGCATGAAATTGCAGTTAAAAATGGTTAAAATTATAACTTTTGTTATATATGCTTTACTATGCTTTGAAAAAACCTTTAAACTCTAAAGAAACATTTTAAAAAATAAGGTTGAGCTCCATTTTGTAGTGGTACAAGTCTACTCCTGTTAATCCTACGCAGGCCACTGCTGTCTCTCTTTCTGGTTATATTACAGTCCTCCCATCCCATTTGCTGCACTGACCCAACAAAGATAATCAATATGAATCCTAGCAGTGAAAGAGGACTAAAGACCACTAGAAAGAGAACTATTAGGTTGCATGAAAGAAAAAAATCACTCTCAATTCAGAAAATATATTATTTATATATTAATATATTATTAATATGTTATTTAATATATTGATTTTTTAAAAAGCCCACAGGGATGGGTATGTAAGAGAGAGACAGAAAAACGAACTGTATACCCAAATGGAGTAAACTATCTTATCCAGTTTAAATATTTAACTAAAAGAACCAGATCTCAGCTCTCAAACACCTCTCGAGGCATTTGGCTCTATTGACCATCTGAATAACCATTTACCAGTGCCTCTTTAAGCCAGCCGTCATTCTCCTTGAAACTCTTCATATTCTTCTGTTTCTTTCTCCAAGTACATTCATCAAAGATCTACTCTAGCTCTGTTCTTTTTCCTTTCTCAATCTGCTTTTCAAATTTCACTGCTCTAACCATAGTTGTGATGTTACTAACTTCTTAATCTTTCTGTCCAGCTCTGAGTACTATTCAAAACTCTGACTCTGCATTTCCAAGTACTATGGAAATCTCTACTTAGGGATAAAAATAAAACTTTAATTTGAAAGATTAATTAATTCCATTTGCAATCTAAAGCACTTGTATATCAAAGCAGCGAGAGGGAGACTCAGTTGTGATCATGTGATGTTCAGCATGACATATTACTCGTATTACAAGATATCACTCACTTATCAAGTTAAATGTCTTAGAGATGTCTGCTACTGTTGTGAAACACTCGTGGAGCAAGCTACTTGCAATCCAACATTTGACTATACAATAAGCAAATGAATTCGGTTCATCTCCAAGTTGAACTTCATCTGCTCT